ATAGATCCTTGGACGGGGACGTTCGAGCAGCCCGTTGGGGTGTGGGGGTTCGTGGGCGTGCGGTGGAAGGCGGGGTACAGAGGATCTTCAGGATGGCCGAATTCCTCATAGACACCCCATCGGTATTTCGCCCATTCGTGCACCACCACGCGACCTGTGGGGGAAGAGAGTGAGAGAGAACACGGGTGAGAAATTAAATAGAAGAAGAAAGAGAAGAAAAAGGAAGGGGAAAAAAAAGATTAATCCATTGATGAGATGGTGATAAAACGGGTTAAAAAAAAATCTAGAAAAAGACTGGTGAGAGGTTGAATAAAAGGGTAGGAACAAAAAATTGATTAATCAAATGAGGTGATAGACGATGATAAAACGGGTGAGAGAGAGAGAGAGAAAAAAAAAGTCCTCAATCCAATAATGAGTTTGACGGTGATAAAAAAGCGAGAGGTGGATTGAGGTGAAATACACAATCGGGGAAATAATTAGAGTTTCTACAAGTATAGGTCATGGTATTTGATTTTTGGAGAGGGTATATATTTACACGTTTGAACGAGAGCTCAAATTCGCCCAAAATGAAACCTTTAATCTAAAATATTCGAACCTGGATGTCAGTAAACGAATAGCCAAGGTGATGAACAAATACACAGATAAATGCAAGAAATATAAGGTATTAGTTTTGCACAATAATCGCATTTAAGTGAAAATTCCCCTGATTACTAATGGCAGTTTCCATGAACTTTTATTAAACTTAAATAAGCTTAAATATCTCCATATCAATTCGCCTTTGCTTAGCGAGACACCTCACGTATCTAAAAGAAAGAAAGAAAAGAAGAAAATAGAAATAAAACTGATAAACAAAGGAATAATTAGATGAAAACAAATGATATATGAAATAAGAACAGAGATAAATAGACCAAGATACTAATTTCTTTCCTGTCAATTTATCCTCATTTCACAGAAGAAAAAAAACTTGCACACCTTAAAAAAAGATTGATGAATAGAAATAAAATATTGAATAAATGAGAATAAGATTATATAAAAACGGAGATAGATAGAACATATCCACATTTCGATGATACCTTACTCTCTCTCTCTCTCTCTCTCTCTCTCTCTCTCTCTCTCTCTCTCTCTCTCTCTCTCTCTCTCTCTCTCTCGTTCTTCCTCTTCTCTCTCTCTCTCTCTCTCATCTTCTACTATCATATGTCTCTATTTTCTTCTCTCTGTCTCTCTCTCTCTCTTCTTCTCTCTCTCTCTCTCTCTCTCTCTCTCTCTCTCTTCTCTCTCTCTCTCTTCCTCTTCTCTCTCTCTCTCTCTCTGCTCTGTTCTCTCTTCTATGTTCTATTTATCTCTCTATGGTCTACTCTCTTCTCTCTCCTCCCTCCTCTCTCTCTACTCTCTCTATTTACTAATCTATTTTATCTATTTATCTATCTCTCTCTCTCTCTCTTCTTCTCTTCTCCATCTCTCTTCTCTCTTCTTAAAGAAAAAAAAAATATAAGGGCACTACGGTTACAACACCCTCTTCCCTGCCCCCCCCCCACCTCCCATTCTTGAAAAAAAAAAAAAGTTGAGACACCTCACGTATCGAAAAGAAAAAAAGAAAAGAAGAAAATAGAAATAAAACTGATAAACAAAAGAAATAATTAGATGAAAACAAATGATATATGAAATAAGAATAGAGATAAAGAGACCAAGATACTAAATTCTTTCCTGTCTATCTATCCTCATTTCACAGAAGAAAAAAAAACTTGCACACCTTAAAAAAAAGATTGATGAATAGAAATAAAATATTGAATAAATGAAATAGATTATATAAAACGGAGATAGATAGAACATACCCACATTTCGCATATATATTACTCTCTCTCTCTCTCTCTCTCTCTCTCTCTCTCTCTCTCTCTCTCTCTCTCTCTCTCTCTCTCTCTCTCTCTCTCTCTCTCTCTCTCTCTCTCTTCTCTGTCTCTCTCTCTCTCTCTCTCTCTCTCTCTCTCTCTCTCTCTCTCTCTCTCGTCTCTCTCTCTTCTCTCTCTCTCTTTCTCTCTCTCTTAAAAAGAAAAGAAAAAAAAAATGGAGATAAGGGACACTACGGTAACACCCTCTTCCCCTGCCCCCCCCCACCCCCATTCTTCCCCGAAAAAAAAAAGAAGAAAAAAAAAAAAAAAAAAAAAAAAGTTGAGACAAGGGCACTACGGTACACCGCCACCTCCCCCCCCCCCCCCGTTCCCCCAAGCCCCCGAAATCCAGACGTTGACACAGCGTGCCAATGCTGAGGAGATCGGCACTGTCCGTAAAGGGATGTCCCCCTGTGAGTGCCAGCTTGTCACAGGGTGTGGTGGTTGGGGGGGGGGGGGGGGTGGCTCTTTCTTGCCCCCATGGCCAAATTTAAGGCCGTTTTTTTCTTTGTTTCTTCTCTATTTTTTTTTTTATACTGCGTTTATGTTTAGTGTTTATTTGTTTTTTTGTATTATTATTATCATCGTTGCTATATGTGTTATTGTTATATTATCATCATATTATTGTACTATTATTGCAATTTTATTACATTATTCGTTTTATGTATCATTGTTTATCATCAATGTTCATTTTTTTTTGTACTCTCAAATTTTTTATTTCTCTCCTGTTCATCCTTGATTACTACATTTTTATTGCCAATTTTCTGTTTATCGATATTTAATCCGTCCCTTTCATTATTCGTTAATTTACCTATTTCTGCGTCGTCTTCGGTTTGAGAAATTATGTCATTATTTGATAATTTGTTGTGTCTTGTTTCTCTCTCTCCCTCTCTTTTCTCTCTCTTTCTGTTCTTTCTATCTATTTTTCTCTTCCCATTTGTCCTTAAAAACTCTTCACTCTTTTACTTCACGCACACATACACGAACACACATTCAGACACAAAGACACGCGCACACACACGTGCACACATACACAGAGCACACACACTTTCAGACTAAAGGACACATTCACACGTCCAATACGCACACCCATTCATACAGAAAGCCACATACACACATATAAAGCAAACACACATTTAGACGCAGCCACTTGCACACATTCAAAGCAAAACACACACTTAGACACAGCCACTTGCACACAAAGCAAACACACATTTAGACGCAGACACACACATGTCTAACAACGCACACACGACACACTCCTCGCCCCTTGACAGCTCGCCCCTGCCTGCATCTCTCTCCATCCGCCTGCATGGCTGTTTAACCTCCCCCCCCCCCCGCCCCCCTGCTTGCCTGCTTGCCAAGGTGAGCGGCACCGCTTGGCTACCTCCTCCTCACTGCAGCCCGAGTGCTTGCGAGCTCGGAACTTCGGAGGAATGTTCAACCCTTTCGGAGTCTGTGTCTCGGCTGATAGGGTCATTAGAGGAAGGGCAGAATCCGAGGTCGCGTTCCGAGGATTTGCCAAAGGCTGGGTCGGGTCGGGTCGGGTCGGGTCACTCGCTTGGCTTGCGGGTGTTCGTGGGTGGGATGGGGTGGGGTGGGGGTGGTGGGGATGGGGAGTGTCTGTTGGCGTCTAATTCTGTGCCTTTTTTGTGGGTGAGGATGCGAAGGCGTGTGTGCGTATGCTTGCATGAATACAGACATATACATACATACACATACGCACACGCACACACACACACACACACAGCACACACACACATACACACACAATACACACACACACACACACAACACACACACACACACACACACACACACACACACACACACACACACATACACACACACACACACACACACACACTAACAGACAAAGATATACAACACAAATACAAACACACACACGCACACAAACATTCTTACGAACAAACAAACACACACGCACACTAACAAACATACACACTCACATACACACAGTCACAATAACAAACGAACATACACACGCACACTAACACACACACACACTCACTTACACACCCACACACTTTGAACTATGCTTTTAATGATGACATAAGCCTATAATTTCCTTTTCCAGTACACATGATTAACAATATATAATTTTTTCACATAGCAGTTGTTAAACATGGTATACGAAAAAAAATATATGTTATTTCCAGCTTGGCGTTGTGGAGGTGAAAAAAAATGGCTACTAAATTAAGTAAAAGGAAGCATCAGAGTTATAAATAGATGATGATGATGTTGGGAAGAGATAAAATATTAGAAGCAAAGTTGTGATATGAAAAAATATGCTATTATTATTATTGATATTATCATTATGATAATGATAATGATAGTAATAGTAATGATAATGATGATGGTAACGATAATGATGATGATAATGATAATTATAATGACAAAAGTAATGATAACAGAAATAGTTATTATGAATGTCATTGATACTACCATTATCATAATTATCATTATTACTTTCATAATTGTTATTCATAATTACTATCATTATTATCATTATCATCATATATCATAGATACTCTTTACAAGATACTCTTACTGATATTATCAACATATTTCCATCATCATCATGTAACGAAGAACAAAGCATAGAAGAAGATGAAGAAACAGAGAAAGAAAATAGAAAGAGAAAGATGAAGAGGAAGAATGAAGAGGAAGGAACAGAAAAGAAGAAGAGAGATAATGAATAATAAAATATAATAAGAAGAGGAAGAAGAAAGAAGAAGAAGAAGAAGAAGAAGAAGAAGAAGAAGAAGAAGAAAAAGAAGAGAAAAAAGAAGAAGAAGAAGAAGAAGAAAAAGAAAAAGAAGAAAAAGAAAAAGAAGAAGAAGAAGAAGAAGAAGAAGAAGATGAAGAAGAAGAAGAAAAAGAAGAAGAAGAAGAAGAAGAAGGGAGAAGAAGAAGAAGAAGAAGAAGAAGAAGAAGAAGAGAAGAGAAGAAGAAGAAGAAAAGAAGAAGAAGAAGAAGAAGAAGAGAAGAAGAGAAGAAGAAAAAGAAGAAGAAGAAGAAGGGAAGAGAAGAAGAAGAAGAGAAGAAAGAAGAAGAAGAAAAAAAGGAAGAAGAGAGAAGAGAAAGAAGAGAAGAGAAGATATTACAAGGGAAGGAGGAGGTCTTGAAGATGGAAAGATGATAGAGTATTCATGAATCTCAACTTGGCAAATTGATAGTCTAACTTAGAACGACTTTTTTCAATGT